TTTGAAAATTCTTGGAGTTCTAACTCCTTTAATGGTGAACACAGTTTAGTAGGGATATTTTCCTGCTGAATGGGGTAGTCTCAATCAGGGTGCTGCAAGGCCTCACTGGGATACTGGTTTGAGTGTCATAATGGAACAGGAACTGTGAGGCCACCACAGGAATATGGAGAAAGGACAGAGCCCAGGAAGGCCCAGACGCTAGGCATGGGGCTGAGTGGGCAGGGCAGGGCACCACAGATATGGGCAAGAGGGGGCAAAGTCAGGTGCCTACAGGCTGGAGCCTGCTTGGGAAAGCCTGGAGCACAACTGGGAAGGAAACTCCATACAGGCTGGACTCCCACAGTGGGTCCCAGACCAGCTGTGCATCATATCCTCCCATAAGCTCATTAGAAATGCCAGTCCTAGAGGTTTCCATGGGTTACGTGGAAATCACAGGGGTCGGGCCTAAGTATCTACATTTCAGAAAGTCCCCCAGATAACCTCATGTTTGGGAAGCAATGCAAGTTGGACTTAAAATTTCTAACAGATCACGGATCTTCTAGTCTTAGTTAATTGTGTGTGAGTGTGGGGGACTGACACTAGATCATGTGCTAGTATGTGGCTAATTCTCCATTATCCACACTAACTCCTAGATTAACAGATAATCCAAAATTGAACTTCATTAGATGATTGAGACCTTTCAAAAATTAAATTTTTATGTGCATCAAAAGACTTCTCCAAAAAGGCAAAAAGAGAACCTACAGATTGAGAGAAAATATTTGCCTATGACAAATCTGACAAAGGACTTATCTCCAAACACTTTAATGCCAAAAAGACAATCCAATTCAAAAATGGGCAAGGGACATGAACAGACACTTCACCAAAGATGATATGCTGGTGGCCAACAAACACATGAGGAATTGCTCACAATCATTAGCCATTGTTGTTGTTGTTGTTTGCCGTCGAGTCGGCCCCGACTCATAGCGACCCCTCCTTGGGTTTCCGAGGCAGTATCACTACGGAAGTAGGAT